TGCCTAGAAAATATATATTTAAAACCAATAATTAAACAAAGTGATAATAACAAATACATATGGATAACACTTCAATACGTGTCATTCAAAAGCCTCGAGTGGTCCCCAAAAAGGCGCGGGCAGATAGCGCCCAGTCACCAACCTTTTGAGAGTAAGATAGGCCCGTGACGCGAGCGGTGATGGGAGTAACATGACCAGTGTTGCTTACACTAGCCAGAAATAAATTTCAAGTGGTGAGCTACCGCAGCATTACTGTTATGTGCATTGACTGTGCCCGAAACGCTGCGCGTACTAGCGGCTTTACAAGATTGTAATTACCATATTATGTATCCTAACAATCCCAATGTACCTTCTTGTATATGCATAAATAAATAAATAAATAAATAAATAAATAAATAAATAAATAAATAAATAAATAAATAAATAAATAAATAAATATGTTGACTAATATAATGGCTTAACACGAAAAATTGATAAACAAATCGACTTTACTTACTAACAGTAGTTTTTGAATAACTGAAAGTTATTCAAGACTACTTGAATAACTTGAACTTTAATACTTGAATACGTAGAACTTTAATGAATATTAATGTTAATTTATATATGTGAACAAACCTATCCTTAATACACAGTACGTTAAAACTGATGAATGTGTCTTAGGTGATTGATGATTGATTGATAAAGATTAAGCCACCAAAGAGGTGGCACGGGTATGAATAGCCCGTAAAGTCTTGGGTGACAGCCGCCGCTTGAATAACAAGCCTGGCCTGAGGACTGGCCGAATGCCGATAATCGTCAACAGAACCTAAACGCCTAACCTAACCTATGCCTAACTATTCACAGAATTTTAATGTATAATATATATATATATATATATATATATATATATATATATATATATATATATATATATATATATATATATATATATATCAGAGTATACCTATTTTCATTACATGCAGTACGTTAAAATTTATGAATGCGTCTTGGAGGAAGGCCTCCGCTTTAACGAGCCTGGCCTGAGGACGGGTTGTATGATGAGACACAATGATGTACTGTTATCGTGTATTTTGAATTTGCACTACTATCATTGTTCATACTGGCATTAACATAGCTTAAGTATTGTAAACATAGTTTTCAAATTATAAACATATTTTCGGTATTAATTGTCATAACTGTGCTCAGAATGAATTTGTTGTAAAGTTATAGGCTACTATCCATTTTGTCCATAAAATATATAGATGAAACTAATTATTGTAAGTTCAAATTTGAAAACAATGTAAATTCTTGAACATTCATGAATGACACAATGGATACGTAAATATATAAATCAAAAGAACACGTGTGTTTATAATAGCGTAACTTTAAGAATCGACTTAAAAGAAGGAATACTGAAATGAGCTTTGTACTATGGGTGTGGTGGTGAAGCGTCCTCTTACAGCCTGGTTCTCAACCCTCAACTCAACCTGGTTACAGTTTGGTTCTCTTCCAAAATATTTGCTTTGCCATATATATATATATATATATATATATATATATATATATATATATATATATATATATATATATATATATATATATATATATATATATAATGACAAAACTCCACAATGCTTGAATACTTGGGAACCATTCAAGCTTGTTTGCATATTATATATATATATATATATATATATATATATATATATATATATATATATATATATATATGTATATATATATATATATATATATATATATATATATGTGTGTGTGTGTGTGTATATCACGAAAATAAACACGTGATTAAAAATGTGACAATGTCAGACCACGGAGGAAAAATGAAACAGGAATTTTCCTTAAGTACTTTCGTATATTAATACATCTTCAGAAGGAGTCAAAGTCTCCTACATCTTCAGAAGGAGTCTTCACTCCTTCTGAAGATGTATTAATATACGAAAGTACTTAAGGAAAATTCCTGTTTCATTTTTCCTCCGTGGTCTGACATTGTCATATATATATATATATATATATATATATATATATATATATATATATATATATATATATATATATGTGTGTGTGTGTGTGTGTGTGTGTGTGTGTGTGTGTGTGTGTGTGTGTGTGTGTGTGTGTGTGTGTGTGTATGTGTGTGTGTGTGTGTGTGTGTGTGTGTGTGTGTGTGTGTGTGTGTGTGTGTGACTAACGGTGTTTCCTGTCATCTAATGCGTCTGTTCACCTAGCAGTAGATACCCAGGAGTTAGTCAACATGATGTGGGGCTATCCTGTGGAGGGTCTGTAATTCAATTCCACCTTCGAAGGGGCAGACGGGGAAGTCGATATAAGCCAAACATGTATATAGACACTGGCTACATGTTCCCGAGGCAATGAATTATTTAACCAGGCTGTTGGACACCGCTGTATACGCTCTGAAATGGAAGTCACAGCCCGGAAGATCAAATATCCTTGGAGATGTTTATCAACTTTCCTCTTGAATACATGAAGAGGTCGGCTAATTATGCCTCTTATATTTAGGAGCAGTGTCATTTTTCAGTGTGGACGATGCTGCTGATTCAAATTTGCCGCTGCGTTTCACAGTCAAGTCACCAACGCCATCTATGTAAAGAGAGGCAGGACTTCTGCTTCTGCAACACTTTATCTTTACCGTAAAGATTATTTGGTCCAGTATTTATTCACCAATAAGACGGGTTTTATATATTTTTTAAATTTCTTAAAAGTGTGGCACTGGGGTCAACCCCAGCTGGCCTATTACACTCCCATACTTCCCATGTGTCATTCTGAAAAGTTGGGTAAGGCTAGCCCCAAGCGTCTGGGTTCCAACCTTGGACAGAAAGACATAGATATAATGATATTTTTGGTAACATATTCACCATTGCATATTGGGTTCAAATCATATTAGGAAGTTTCCTACATGATATTGTAATATTGGACATTGCATGATAAAAGAAGTATTGCAGTTTAGCCTACATTTTGAGTGAAACATAACTATATTTCATGATTTATTTTAATATATTTATTTTTTTTATCAATGTGCAAAATGTGGATATACGGGTAGGTACAGTATTTTATTAACAAAACCGGTGTCATTTTATGAAACGTTACGTTACATCTATGTCTAAACCGGCCATTTTCAACACAGTGAAACATAATGATTTAGTGTGACCACTGTCTTCGTCCACACTGTAAAGTTCTGGAGAGCTAGTTCTTTATACAATTTGGTCAGAAACATTTTAATTTAAAGCCTAGTTGTAATCCAGATAAGACAACATTTACAAATTATACTGTGTACCTGAAATTAGATTACTGTGTACCTACCTGCTGCGAGGTGAACAGGTGCATTAGATGATAGGAAATGCGCCCAGATCCATTTCTCTCCCGCCCGGGATTCGAACCCGGAATTCCCGATTGTGAGTCGAGAACAAACTCGACTGTGCTACCAGGGCCCTATAATTAATTTGCTATCTTTAGCAGGTTATGTTTCTAGGCTTTTGACAGCTACGCCAATCAGCCCGTTCTCACGATTTGACAAGCGCCAAACATAAATTAGTCTTCACTAGACACGTGCGAGTCTATCTTTAGGCAACTCACCTAACCTAATTAATCCCACATGCCATTAGGCCTATGGAGCATCAATGTTGCGGGCCGGAATATTGATGCTTAGTTTCACTAAAGGGCCGGAATTAAGTCCGAGGCCATGAGGCTGTGAATTGGGAGACAGCGAAGAGGTCACCGTGTAGCCTAAGATACCTGTCCAATTATTGACTTTTGTGCTGAGATAAGGTCATACGGGTGACTCCACCGTCATTATCGGTTGTTGTTTAAACTTTGAAGACTCTCTCTCTCTCTCTTTCTCTCTCTCTCTCTCTCTCTCTCTCTCTCTCTCTCTCTCTCTCTCTCTCTCTCTCTCTCTCTATCTCTCTCTCTCTCTCTCTCTCTCTCTCTCTCTCTCTCTCTCTCTCTCTCTCTCTCTCTCTCTCTCTCTCTCTCTCTCTCTCTCTCTCTCTCTCTCTCTCTCTCTCTCTCTCTCTCTCTCTCTCTCTCTCTCTCTCTCTCTCTCTCTCTCTCTCTCTCTCTCTCTCTCTCTCTATATATATATATATATATATATATATATATGTCGTACCTAGTAGCCAGAACTCACTTCTCAGCCTACTATGCAAGGCCCGATTTGCCTAATAAGCCAAGTTTTACTGAATTAATATATTTTCTCTAATTTTTTTCTTATGAAATGATAAAGCTACCCATTTCACTATGTATAAGGTCAATTTTTTTTATTGGAGTTAAAATTAACGTAGGTATATGACCGAACCTAACCAACCCTACCTAACCTAACCTAACCTATCTTTATAGGTTAGGTTAGGTTAGGTAGCCGAAAATGTTAGGTTAGGTTAGGTTAGGTAGGTTAGGTAGTCGAAAAAACATTAATTCATGAAAACTAGGCTTATTAGGCAAATCGGGCCTTGCATAGTAGGCTGAGAAGTGAGTTCTGGCTACTAGGTACGACATATATATATATATATATATATATATATATATATATATATATATATATATATATATATATATATATATATATATATATATAAAGCCTATACAATCCCAATGAAGAAACAGTATATGGATTTAGTTTACATATGGTGTATGCGAAATGTATAGCACTAATCCAATATTTTCCTGTTTCATGTTCTAACTCCGTCCATTTTTACTGTCATTCTTTGATGATGACGATTAACCTACAACATGTACTGGGAAGACAGTTCAAGGAGAGCTCTAAACTACCTGCTGTATACTTAGCCTAAACGATTTTTGCCTTAATTAATTCTAGTCATTAACACCCGAAAAATGTATAGCTAACATATCATAACACTAAGTTTCATCTTAGCACATTTAGTTTCAGCAAAGCTTAACAGCTTTTGACTCCAGCGTTGAAAGCTGACAGCATAAATCTCACACACAGGATCAAGAAATGTACATTTGGTGAAAAAGATCTCTATACTCACCATCGCAGTTTTCCCAGCAAAGGATTCTTGAGCGTCAAATATATATTTGCTCAATGAAACCAATGGAATATCGACATCACTAAAAGGAGACTTCATTATGAACGAGTCTTCGGAGCTCGATGAATATTTCCGACCGCGATAGTGAAGGTATGGGAGTCTAGACGAATGCCAGTACAAGCAAGGGTAAGCAGCGCGGCGCAGGCCAGCAGAGACGGAGCGTAGAACCACCATGTTGAAGGACCCGCGGTAACACTGAGTCCCGCTCACACCGCTCACACACACACGCCGGACCCGCTAAAGCTAGCCATACCCGCTAACACTAGCCAAACCCGCTAACGCTAGCCTGACCCGCTGACGTTAGTTTAGTTTATTGGTGGGTTCATATAGCTATTTATATTTTTTGTCTGTGAATTGAGTCCCCAAGGCGAAAAGGCTTATATATATATATTATATTATTAATCTTCTATAGGCTATATTATATATATATATATTTATTATTATTATTTTTTTATATATACTTATGTATATATATATATATACATATATATATATATATATATATATATAATAGTATATATAATATATATATATATATATATAATATATATATATAATACATATATATATATATATATATATATATATATATATATATATATATATATATATATATAATATATATATAATAGTATATATAATATATATATATATAATATATATATAATATATATATAATATATATATAATTATATATATAATATATATATATATATAATAGTTCCTTCTAGTGGAACTTACCAGATTCTCCAACATGTGTTTGGCTGGCGGCATCCCTGAGGACATCAGGCCTGTCTTTTATGGAGCAGCACTCTGTGCTCTAAAGAAGAAGGATAGGGGTATCAGGCCCATTGCCGTTGGCAACACCCTCCGACGCCTTGTAGCTAAGGCTGCAGTGAGATCTATCAGCCAGGAAGCAGCCACCTTGCTGAAACCTCATCAGCTCGGGTTTGGGATTCCCCTAGGTTGTGAAGCTGCAGCACATGCAGCGCGGGCTTGCATTGTTGATCTCCCGGACCAGAAGGCACTAGTAAAGCTTGACTTCAAAAATGCCTTCAATCAAGTCAGACGAGATGCTGTCCTCAGGGCTGTACACAACCATTTCCGTCCCCTTTACCCATTCATCCGATCGTGCTACAGTGGGGACTCTAAGCTTCTTTTTGGGGAGCATGAAATAAACTCCTGTGAAGGTGTCCAACAAGGTGACCCCTTAGCCCCCCTCCTTTTCTGTCTAGCTATCAAAGAGGTCACTGATAGTCTGACAAGCGAGCTAAACATCTGGTACCTGGATGATGGCACTCTAGCTGGAACTCCGGAAACCATTTTGGGGGATATAAGGAAAATCCAGGAGCAGGGAGCAGCCTTAGGCCTCATTCTCAATGCATCCAAATGTGAAATAATCTCCCGCAACCCAGACATCACTGGGCAAATACAAAATGCTCTTCCAGACATTCTCGTTGTCGAGCCACCGGACTGCACTCTCCTGGGTGCCCCCATTGGCCCACGAGCAATCGAGGAGGTCCTGGCTGCAAAAATCACTGACCTAAAGAGAATGCAGGACAGGATTGACAAGATCGATGCCCATGATGCTCTCTTTCTCCTTACAAGATGCCTGTCTCTCCCTAAGTTGACCTACTTTCTGAGATGTTCTCCATCCTACAGCAGCCCTAAGTTAAATGTGTATGACACCCTTCTGAGGTCCATGCTGGTGAAAGTCCTGAACCTGCCATTGGACGACTCTCAGTGGGAGCAAGCAACCCTTCCTGTAAGACTCGGCGGCCTTGGTGTCCGCACAGCCTCCCAAATTGCTCTACCAGCCTTCCTTTCCTCCTCTCATGCATCGCACGACCTCGTCAGAGATATTTTACCTGCAACCCTGAGAGATTCAGCAGGAATACACGATCCTGCTTTCACTGAATGTTCAAATCAGTGGAATGTTCTTGCAGCCCCAGCAACCATTATAGAGCCAACAAAACAACACAAACAGTCTGGCTGGGACCACCCTCTAGTGGAAAAAGTAGCTGATGCCATGCTAAGCGTCGCAACATCAGACAAGGAGAAAGCCCGCCTCAGAGCAGTGCGTGCCCCCCATGCAGGAGACTTCCTCCTGGCAGTACCCATGTCTGCAATGGGCACGCGCCTAGATCCAGAATCCCTTCGTGTAGCAGTGGCCCTCCGCCTTGGTGCCCCAATTCACACTGAATACAAGTGTATTTGCAACAGGGTGGAAGCAGACCAATACGGACTGCATGGGTTGCATTGCGGAAGCACAAAGGGCTGGCATGCAAGACACAACGAGGTCAATGACATCATCAAGAGAAGCCTCGTCTCAGCTGGGTGCCCAGCGGAGAGAGAACCTCGCATCCTAGGGGTCCAAAACCCGGATTTCCCAGCACTTCGCCCTGATGGCATCACCATATACTCATGGAAGGAGGGTAGACAGTTGGTGTGGGACTACACATGTGTATCCACCCTGGCTAACACCTATGTACACTTCGGAGCTGATCAAGCAGGTGGGGCGGCCAACCACAGGGAAACAGCAAAATCACTCAAGTACAGGCGACTGGAAGGTCAATACCTCTTTGTTCCCATAGCGTCTGAGACGCATGGCCCATGGGGCAAGAGTGCCTTGGGATTTCTCAAGGAATTGGGGTCCAAGCTCATTGACGTCACCAGAGACCCAAGGGCTTCCAGTTTTTTATTTCAGCGTCTCAGTGTGGCGATCCAGAGGGGAAATGCTTGCTGCGTCCTCGGTTCCTGTCCAGAAGCGGAGGAGCTTCAAGAGATCCATAACCTTTAGGCATTTGTCTTGTATGTTTTGTAACCTTTAAATACACAATAAAGGAAAAAAAAAAAAAAAAAAAAAAGGGAAGGGGGTGGTAGGAGAAAAGCACACAGAAACTGTATTGGAGGGGACCCACATTCCCTCCAATGCGTTATGTGTGGTTTCCTCCGAGGCTATGGGTCCCCCTTCTTCCAGCCAGACTATATATATATATATATATATATATATATATATATATATATATATATATATATATATATATATATATATATATATATATATATATATATATATATATATATATACACACATTATGCTTTTTTATGTCGAGGTCCCTGCTCCCCACGAGGTGGAACTACTAACCCCGCCCAGGATGCAACTCCACAACAAGCTGGCTAACTCCTACTTACTGCAAGATGAACAGGCCGAGGCATTACGTCATGCGAAATGCGCCCAACTATTTCTGTCCCGCCCGGGATTCGAACCCGGAATTCTCGATTATGAGTACATATACGCCAGGCGCTTCGCGAGCTCTCTGGCCTGGGTTCGTATCCTGGCCGGGGAGGATTGATTGGGCGCCAATCCTTAACAGTAGCCTCTGTTCACCCAGCAGTGTATAAGTATCTGATTGTTTAACGATTTGGCGGATCGTATTCCGGGGGAAAATTAGATATGTGTGTGATGTAATAAATTTCACATTACTTAAGTTAGGAAAATACTATTTATCAAACAGAACATTTTCCTAAAAAATCTCCACACCAGTAAGATATTATGCACCTCACAATCATGCTATGAGCGGTAGTTTATTGTGTATCCCGAAACTCATCCTATGACAGAAATCCTAAAATATAGGAAAAGAAGCACACAATCTAGGGCTGTCAATCACCTTAAATTGGATACCAAGTCACAGTGGCATAGATGGTAATGAAAAGGCAGAATCACTAGCATAAACTGCCACTACTCTACCTGATATACAGGTTAAAATGCTTTTAAGTTTTTCATAGATTAAGGAGCAAATCAAGAAGAAAATACTCCTAACTATTAAAATTCGCTACAGAGCCAAAGTACCGTAATGAAAGGGGGTAGAAAAAGCCGAAGCTACTTTATCCCTTTGGGATGTAGTTTTTTCTTGCCTCAATAAACATACTTGAACTTGAAGTACGGGAAGGAAGATCCACTGCGATGTGGTACGAACAAGCCACTGGGTACTTCCTCTTTCAAGCCTGGCAAAAAGATATCCAGAGATATTGCAGTAGCCATACACTGACTCAGACTTGGTTACAAGTGCTTCTGGGAGATAATAAACCAAATAGTTAAAGAGTGTCATATCTGTGGAACAGAGGCAGAGGCGTCACTATTGCATTACTTACTGGAATATGAAGCAACTGAAGCTCTGTGCATCAAACTCAACATTAATCCAATGAATACAGCTGCATTAGATGCACATTCCACAGCGACTACAATGATTAGAAAAACAGTTGAAGAATGGGACGACACACTAGTGAACACTGTGCATCTATATCCACCACCAAGATAATATTACTAAAACAAGCCTAAAACCAGTGAGCTAAAACAGAAGTGAAAAAGAAACGGAGGAAAAGGAGGAAACCCCACCTCCATTTAAAACTTTGACCCAAATATAACAGTAACAATTAAGGTTATCGTGAATAACCGAACTCAATTACGGGCTCACTATAGCCCGTACTATATGGACATTTCATTCTGAGTAGCTAAATCTAAAACAACAACATCATCCTGTGAGCAGTAGTCTATTGAGCACCCCAAACACATTCTGTAAGCAGTAACACATAAAAAGGATTATACAGGGCACAGTCTTAATCAGAGAGAAGTTTTAAGACAATCAATTGTGACTAATCTACATACATAATTACAAATGACAGCTAGCAACAGACTTCTTGCACTGCAACTACTATGTATTTATAATATGTTATTCAACATAGGAAGTGAGTACCTTCATTTATACCTATTGCATGATGCTTGTCTCCGAAGACACGCATACCTACCAACTGGTTAAACGTTCAAGTCAAATTATTGTGGATTCCATGGCACCGCCAACCCGCCGAAGCCGTAAGTGACAAAACACTGTTTCAGTTCAAAATACAGCTTGATAAATCATCAGGACAAATAGGGGGGGAGGTCCTTTGATAAGCCGCCAGCTTCCTATTCTCGTCAAGGACCCCCTCGGATAAATTCAGGTAAAAAAAAAAAATCCCCTCTCGCACTAGGCTGCAGGAACATGATAATGTTGATACCCTTGCTAAGCTTGCATCAAATAACGATAACTTTATATAACATTGATAATAATAACATAATCTTGGGCTATTGAATATAACTATAAATAGATGAGTGTCCTTAGATGAGAACTCATACATGAATTTGAAGAAAGCAGATTTGTTCAAACAGGAACTAGCAATTCCATTGTTTATTTTCACAATGAAATGTGTCAGACTAGACACTTGTACGGAACAAGTAACTAAACCAGCAGACTGAAATATGTTGTCACAGCTCGAATACGGTATGGCTACAGGTATATCTGGCAGTTCGGCTTTACACTGAACCTGGTGCCACATCCGGTCCGTTCTTTGCCCACACCTGGTCCACACCTGATGCACATCAGCACCTAACTAATGACCAGACACGCCTGGCCTATAGCCACACCTCATGTTCCAACTCTACTCATAACACCTTTACAACACAGTACAGTACATCCTTACGGGCTCACCATAGTCCGTGCTACGTAGAAATTTTGTTCCAGTATTTGAATCTAAAACAACAGCAGCAACAGTACAGCCTGATATTGTACTGCTTGACACCTCACATTTAATTACTAGTATATCTGAACTTATATAATAACCTGTACCTGTTGAGCCTTGACTCACAACTAACACTCACAACCCCCCCCCCACTCTCAGAAACACCTATCTTCACTAACTCGCAGAACTACTAATGTTCATTTACTCTCTCAGAACCACCAATGTTCACACTTGTCCTCACAGCCAAGGATTACATCACGGTTCTCACATCTGGCTAAATGAAACTGTAAAAAAGAACTATAAATTTTGGAAATATAATTGGAATTATTATACGTCCGGACATAAAACATTGTAATAGCTATTACAGAATGATTAGTCCGATCATTGTAATAGCTATTACAATGATCGGACTATGACTGGGACACACCAAAATAGTAGCATACATGCAGCTATAAATACAGAAGCCAAAAATTAAAGTTGTATTCACCGTAAGTGAATGCCTTAGCTGTTTCACCTATAGCCATAAATAGGCAACTGTTGAGGAGTGCATCCTGGGGAAGGCCGGTAATTAGTCTAGGACCTATGGGGGGACCTCGATAAGCTTAGCATGCTTCAAATCCTCAACTGTGAGTAACTATTATCTCCATACTTACCAACATCACGTATTGTACATACAGCGATAGAACCAGTTTTAAATAAGACCTTATCACCCAACAATGGTTCCCATACCGGTGGGTCAGGAATTGTTTACTGGTGGGTCGCAGAACCTATAAATTCTGACTACTAGTATATCTGAATCATCAAGAATTAGCAAGTGGTGACTATCCGGATGAGGCAATTTTTTTCAATTATGAAAGTGTGGCAGGCGGTCGCAAGTATTTTGAGTATTAAAAATGGAGCCGCGAGTCGAAAACGGTTAGGAACCGCTGCTCTAAAGGATTCTTCAACATTGAGCACACATTAGCGGGAGAGTGACCTGTTAATACATATAAAACAATAAGTGATCAACACACTTGCTAAATATCTCCATGCTACCAAAAATGTAATTCACTTTACCAACATCTAGCCAACAGCCCAGACAACCGATCATAGAAAACGTAAATCTTGCAACGAGAGCTTCATAAGCGATCGTCCGCCACCATCAACAACATCCGAAACTGTAGGCCACTCTGGGTCTCTGTGGGAGTAGTGTGGCGACAGGTATATTCCTCTTCTCGGTATAAATAGGCAGAGTTTACTTTAGTAATACCTTCTGATAAGGCCTGATGTAGTGGCCTTACTAAACCTCCAAAGGTTGAGGTATACCCCAACGGGTTACTGTCAAATTATATAATTTATTTTGTTAGAGACGGGCAATCTGTGTGTATAATAATAATAATAATAATAATAATAATAATAATAATAATAATAATAATTATTATTATTATTATTGTACAGGGGGACAGCCAGCCAGCGTATAAATACATGTTGGGCTCATGTCGAACTCACTTCAGCAAGGTTGAACAACTGATCCTTCCCAGGATGCAACCTCACAAGAAGTTGATTAAATCCTGGGTATCTTATCTATTTCCTGCTAGGTGAACATAGCCATTACGTGATACGAAATGCACCCAACCATTTCTGTTCTGCCTGGGACTTGATCCTTGAATTCCTGAGGGTGAGTTAAGAACAAACACAACTGTATATCAAGGTCCCTCACAAGATCAAACTATTGATCCTCCCCAGGATGCAACCCCCCATCCCCCCAACAAGCTGGCTATTCTAATAAAATATTTACTGCTCGGCCCGTCCTCCAAGCAGACTCAAAAGTAATTCCTTGCACTTGCCAAACCCCCTTGTTTATGAATGAAAAATGGTATACACATGACTTAAACTGATAACGTTCGAACACTTCCAGAACAAGTACTTCACTGACGAATTTTGTTAGAACCACAATGCTGTAAATGCTTCACCCACGTACCACAAATAATCACCAACAGAACTTAAATGCCTAACCTAACTTATGCCTATATATGCACAATATGCTAATATATTATAAAATTTATATTTTAGAAAATTCCTGTTTTGCATTAACAGCATGTTAAAATTTATGAATGCGTCTTTGGGGTCGACCGCTGGCTGGAATGGACTTGGGTCGAGGACGGGTTGTACTGCTAGGTGAACAGAAGCATTAGGTGATACTATTAGGTAATACTGCAATATCTCCTCAAATTTGGAGATATTTAGCATCCAACATAAAGAACATGTTAGGTTGGGATGTATTATCTTTGTTTTGGCACAATTAAGTTAGGCTAGGTTGGACTGGTTAAAGTTAGGTAGGTTTTAAAATCTGTTTGTGAACCGTTTTGTGTATGGTGTGTCTAAAATCCAACAACAGAAGCATTAGGTGATACTAAAGGTATCACCAAGGCAGAGACCATTTCTGTCTTGCCCAGGATCCTAACCCGGAATTCCCAATCGTAAGTCGAGAACGAACCCAACCCAAATTGAATCCAAAGCTCATGTTCTAATTGTAAAAGTCATATCTACAAAATCTAACGATGTGTTTTAAAATCTTGGCACACTGTCTGAAATGAAGTGACATATCCAGCCCAATACCAAGCCCATCTCTGGTCCAATAACTGGCTCAACCTCGGCACTGAGTGGATGTAAGAGAAAAGGTTAAATTGTACGTAAGATGTTTCAACAAAACCAATTTTTGGTAAAACTATATATAATGTTAAGTTGGGATGTATTATCTTTTTGCACAGTTGAGTTAGGCTAAGTTGGACTGGGTAAAGTTAGGTAGGTTATAAAATCTGTGAACTGTTTTGTGTATGGCGTAACTTACATCCAACATAAAGCTCCTGCTCTACCTGGGTCTCGCTGGATTTTTTTTTTTATTTATGCCTGTTAGGTCTTTATTCTTGGTTACTTGGGTAAATTTTGTTATAACAAATTTTGCAGTCACCAAAGTTATCAAGGTCTGGTGGTGCTGTTTCCTGAAGTAAATCGAGTTTGCAGGTTGGCAGCATAGAACATATTTTCAGTTCCCGAATTTACCTGAAGTCAACCATTTCTAATAGTCTCAGTGGAAGTAGAAAGCTCCTGGCTTGTTGAAGAAAAGAACATAATGATAAAGGAAACTGTTGCTACTAATCATGACTTCTCTTTCAGAAATGCCATCCAGAGAAATTGAACGTTAAATGTAACAAGATGCCCATTTCTGGTGGGCCCTCAATTGCTCCCCATTCCTGGCCATTTCTTTCTTTCCTGTAGGGGGCTTGAAGTTGTGTACTGGTTGCCTGTCAATGAGGTGGGTATACTTAAAGATATACTTTAATCTCAATTAGTATTAAGTTTTAGTCTTTAATGTTTTTCCTGCCCGAAACGCTTTGTGTAATAGTGGCTTTAGGCATTGTATGTACTAGCTCTTATCTATAAATCTATCAATTTTTGTAAAATCTCATTTATGTATGTACCTTACCTGAATAAACATTTATTTATTTATTATTTATTTATGTAGTTGGTTGCTTGCTTGCGCACGACATTGAGCACACCTTGTTTGCTTAGTGTTCATTATTTTTCAAGCAGTTGCATGTGTTTCACCTAACTTTTGTTTATTTGTCAGGGAAGGAGGCAGGGGAAGGGGGAGGGGGGGCAGTTTTGGGTGGGTCTCTGATCCCCAAGCTTTCCTCAAATTATTGTTTGTGACAGATTCTTGTCCTAGAACCTGGTAGATTACCTAAGCACCTAAGTTCTGGCAAGATACTGAGAGGGCCTCCAGAAAAGTGTATTTAATTAAATTTGGCACTTGATTTTACATTTGTAATGTATTTTATAGCTGTTTGTTGATGTATATTCCATGTTTTATATCTACTATATTGTACACATGTTTGTGAATGATTATCTCATCATATGGAAGAGCAGTGATAACATAAATCTATGCTTTTGTGTAAATTTTCACAGTAGATGTGATAATACAGTATGCATGTTCAATATCAATGATATTCCCATAAAAATCACAAACATGCAAAAAGGTGTGAGCAGCGATCTAGTCTTATGGAGAGACTGTCAAGTACAGCTCTAGTGAGTGTTGCTTGCCCATCGCATTGTCTGCCAAGTTATACTTGCTCATGAGGTGCATGGACCATATGACAAAATTTATGATTGGTGAAAAATCTACGAGGTTATTGTCATAAATTTTCCATCACTGAATGCAAGTGTGTAAATGTGTGGTGATTGTTCAGCTGTAGTATATCAGTTATTTGTCCATAGGATATATGGGAACATGCATGTGTTTTTATTGTATCTAAACTAAAATATGTACTGCAGTAATTGCAATATTTATCTGGAAATTCTCTTTCAGGGACTTCTGATAAATAACAGTTTGCAAGGTGTAACATTAATTTAGAAGTGCATGCATGCCACCAAAATGGAAGAGCAGCAAACTGTAGTTATTCAAGTGAACAATGCAGACTGGGACCAACAGACAATATCAAACTTTGAGCACCTGCAGGTCTCAAATTTGGCTACCATAGAATGTGGGGCTGTGCAGGAAGTCTCTAATATTGGCGATGTTGTCTCTGAAGAAGCATCCCCTAGTGAGCACCATTCAGAACTCGTGAAACTCGATTTGGAGAAATTGGACAATAAAAGCCCAAAGAAAAATGAAGTATCTATGATGAAATATGAGTGCCCTTATTGTTTAGCAAAACTGAAAACAAAATTCTCTCTTAATTCTCATCTTAAGCTCCACACTGGAGAAAAATCTTTCATGTGTGACATTTGTGGAGACTGCTTTAAAACTAAAGGGGCAGCAGACAGGCACATACGACTACATTATCATAAGAAGGAGTATTTTTGTGGATTGTGTGGTGCAGAGTTTGCTAGTAAATTCTCATGCACTAAACACATGAAAAGCTCTCATAGAGTTCCAGCGAGTGATGTTAACATGTTTAGATTGAAAGAAGAAGTGTTAGATGAAGGGGAAAATGTTCTACTTATCAAAGTGATTAGGAATGGAGAGGCATTTAAGAGAAGGTTCAGATTTGTTAAGGGTGTGTGAAATGAAGGATTTTCATGAAATTACATCATTTTTTTCTTTGAAATGTGTTTTGTCATGCATTGTATGCTTTTAAGTATTTTTGTTACACCTGTAATGAAATTCTTGATAATAAAGTTAAAATAATCCCTCTCTTTTATGTTGCCTTGCACCCTTCTAGGAGCTTTTCATCTGGGGGTGGCCAAGACAGAAGTTTCTCCAGGAGGCTCTATCACCACACACACAACTTTCATTTAATCTCTGAATATCTTCCTGTCCCTTTCATTGATTTATTGTTCAACTCTTCCCTTCAAAATTGTGGTCATCTACCCCTACCTTATGATTCCTTTATTTCACCCTTCTAGTTCAACTTTTCTCGGGCATCATTCTAACATGTTTATATTACATAAATGCAGCCCATCCTCCTGTTTCGGTAGTACAGTACTTATAGGAAAGATGAGGACCGTAGTACATATACAGTACTGACATATAATGCAATTAGAAAATAGAAATGTGTAGTATTGAATATGAATAAACCAGAAAATGACTTTCTACTTATGGTGCAAAGACAAATTAACCTAACCTAACCTTCCTAGGCCTAATACACTATCTGAGGCCTAATATAGTACATGTGTGTGCTATACTAGGCTTAAGAATATTTGTTAGTTTTTAGCTTCTTTTTTGGACCTATAAAGTGAATAGTAAAAAATTCTACTATCTAATTGCTTAGTACATCAATGTTTGAACTATTGTGCACATAGCTACAGAAGGTACTTTCTGAACAGGAGGATGGGTTGCATAAATGTTTGTCTAATCCCTAATATCTCCTTACCTCATGGTCAGATTTTGGTCGTCACTCTCTGTAGATAAGGGGTGGGTCTCGAAGGCCTGGTATATCTCAATATCTGCAGTGTTCACCTGTTTTCAGCTAAAAGTTTGTGGTGCAGTTGTTAATGACTTATTAACTGAGCATTTATAAAAACAAGGCAAATTTCAAAATGTTTCCAAACTACCATTTTAATTTCAAATCACAGAGTGAATAAAACATTAAAATATGGCTTAATAATTATCACTTTCCTGAGCCGTGGACACAAGAGGGAGTCCGTCAGGGGTCACTTGACGCCGCCCGTATATTAGTGTTGGACATCTTTTTATGTCCGACGAACAAATATTTCTATAAAACTCAATTCTTATCCGATCGACTTGGGGATAGTATAAACATGTTTGCCATAAAATTTACGTTTTCATTAGTAGCCTATTTGGGAGAACGGCATTGTCTTGTATCTTCGTGGTAAAACTATTGTAGATCGCTGATGTCCGGTAACAGATAACACTTCGCCCACTTCCCACACTCTTGCGGGTGGGCCGCGATCATCATTCTTCATTTATATGCATATGTCCGTGTAGGGAATTTTATTGCGATCTCAAAGATACCAAATTTAACGCTGTAGGACAAGTGTGGAGTTGACAACCCTGAAAAGAATGGAAACATCTCTTCGCTGTTTGGAGCTCACACACTAGCTCATGGCTAGTGATCCACGTATTTTCTTTATTGGTAGTGGTTTAAATCAGTTTGGTGACATTTTATACATATGTTCTTCTAGAACATTCTATTGCGAACACATTGGTAAAAAAATGAAATCTGTACATCGAAAATTAAGATCAGGACAGTGAAAAGAGTATACACTTTTCAGTGTTTCCGCTCAATCGCCCGCAAACACCGAGAGCACATTGTGCTAACTTTTTTCCTTGTTGAAATTGAAATTGAAATTGAAATAAGTTTATTGAGGTAAAATACACACAAAGGGATGAGGTAGCTCAAGCTATTCTCACCCCATTCAGTACAACGTGTTAATATATACATAGACACACATCACAAACAATAAACATATTACCAAACATTCTGAGAGGTAAACATATACATTTCCTCCTTCACAAGTAGTATGGTATCAGACGTACACACAAATACTTTTATGACCTAGGTATACTGTATAGACAATTTGCAAGACACCTGCAGATAATTCAACAAAATATTACAATCTTGGTGCAAAATTCTTATATCTCTCAAGAATATCATCAACCTTTCCGTTGTGACACATCCAGGCTATTTGTTCAGGAACAGTCCTTATCTCAGTGTTTCTATATACATTAATCAACGGACAATCAAGAATATAATGGGCAAGGGTGTGAGACCTTAACATACCACATAGTTTACACTTCGTGTCATTACCATGAACATCTATCCCATATTCCCAGTAATATTTGTACCCAAGCCTGAGCCGCATGTACACAGAGTCACTCCAAGCATTTCTCCTTTTACCATAAGTGAAATGGGTGTTTTGACTCACATACATGTAGTGTTGCATGGTTTGACTTCTCTCATACATTATCTCTCTCCTCTCCACTCCCGCCTGTGCCTGAATATTTCTGATTTTGCTTCTTATTTGTCTCATTGTGAATTCACATTCAATGTCAACTTGTGGTTTTGATGTGGCACGTTTGGCCAAGTCATCCGCCACCTCGTTGAGCACTATTCCAACATGAGACGGAATCCACATGAATTTCACACTATAACCTTTCAGCTGTATCTCAGTTATTCTTCTCTTACAGTCCTCCACTATAGACATGAAGACTGGGTTTCGACTGTTTAAGAACTCCAGTGCTCCTCGGCTATCGACAAATACAAAAACATTTTTGTCGTCATGACGTACTTCCTCCAAACACGCCAGAATGGCCTGCAGTTCAGCTTGTGTGGATGATATATAATTACTAAGCCGGAGTTCAATTATCCTGTCCACAGTCCCAAACTCCGTATAATCCCTTATTAGGACACCACACCCTGCCCTGCCATCTTCCGCCACCGACCCGTCGCAATATACATGTAAACTGTTGCCTCTTGGTAACCGAGATATCATGCTTCCATACAAACACCGTAATTGTCCCGGTTCATGATGAATCTTTTTCACCTTGAGGGGTACAATTTCGACGTCTATTTTCTGTACTATCCAGGGAGCAGACATATTACACTGTCGAGAGGGTTTACAGCAGTCAAGTACGTCGTATTCCCTGAGGTCATGAGCTAATCCTCTCGTATAGCGTGTCTCCCTCAGTTTCCTGGAAGTGTGTACGTCACTCAAGCAGGTCTGAACGCTCTCAAACAGCTTATCCCCTCCTTTTCTCCGCATGAAACGAATAGATACTCTAGTGTTAATGTCACGGACTCTATCACACACACTCTGTAAATTTAATTCCATTCTCATTATTTCAATCATCATTGCATTTCCTTGTACGCCGGGCGCGTGAAAGTGTAAATTAATTAAAAAAAAAAAAAAAAAAACTCACAGGGGGCTAAGGCTTTGGCTGGACTAAAGTCTTTGAAAATGTAATAAATTATTACGAAACGCGTTCAAGTGTCGCGTCAGACTAGAAATAAAAAATGAATTTTGGAGAATTGATTTTTCAATTACCATCAACAGTGTAAAGAAATATTGAGAAAATTCGTGTTAGAATTATTAATCTTACTTTTTCGGTCATATTTAATAATATATGTCTACAGGAAAGACTGCTACCAATATATATATATATATATATATATATATATATATATATATATATATATATACTGACGATGCCAAAATTATGATGGTCCATTTGGTCCAGGAGACATCTCCCGTCACACAGGGTGCAGTTGCGCCTCCACAGATCTCCAGGGGAGCCGGTCGGCCGAACAGACAGCAAGTGGGACTTGTGATCCTGTGGTCCTGGGTTCGATCCCAGCCGCCGGCGAGAAACAATGGGCACAGTTTCTTTCACCCTATGCCCCTGTTACCTAGCAGTAAATTAGGTACCTGGGTGTTAGTCAGCTGTCACGGGCTGCTTCCTGGGGGTGGAGGCCTGGTCGAGGACCGGGCCGCGGGGACACTTAAAAAGCCCCGAAATCATCTCAAGATAACCTCAAGAAGAAGATCATCTTTTAATACTGGTAATGGCTCAAAAGGGCCACCACTTACGGACTATTCATGCCCATGCCACCTTTTGGGTAGTTTAATCTTCATCAATCATCATCTAAAATTATGAGAAGGATTAAGACAGAGGAGGACAGTTTGAGGCTTCAAGAAGTCTTGGACAAGCTGCAGGAATGGTCGAACAAATGGTTGCTAGAGTTTAACCCAAGCAAATGTAATGTAATGAAGATAGGTGTAGGGAGCAGGAGACCAGATACAAGGTATCATTTGGGAGATGAAATACTTCAAGAGTCAGAGAGAGAGAAAGACCTGGGGTTGACATCACGCCAGACCTGTTTCCTGAAGCTCATATCAAGAGGATAACATCAGCAGCATACGCCAGGCTGGCGAACATAAGAACGGCCTTTAGAAACTTGTGTAAGGATTCTTTCAGGACATTATATGCCACATATGTCAGACCAATCCTGGAGTATGCGGCTCCAGCATGGAGTCCATATCTAGTCAAGCATAGGACTAAACTGGAAAAGGTTCAAAGGTTTGCCACCAGACTGGTACCCGAAGAGGGTTATGAGCTACGAGGAGAGACTATGGAAATTAAACCTCACGTCACTGGGAGACAGATGAGTTAGAGGGGACATGATCATCACATACAAGATTCTCAGAGGAATTTATATGGTAGATAAAGACAGACTTTTTAACACAAGGGGCACGTTTTAGGGGACACAGGTTCCCGACTTTTGTTCACGACATTTGTTAGGCCAAAGCTAGAATATACAGCGGTTGTGTGGTGCCCATATCTTAAGAAGCACATCAACAAACTGGAAAAGGTGCAAAGACATGCTACTAAGTGACTCCCAGAACTGAAGGGCAAGAGCTACGAGGAGAGGTTAGAGGCATTAAATATGCCAAAACTAGAAGACAGAAGAAAATGAGGTGATATGATCACTACATACAAAATAGTAACAGGAATTGATAAAATCGATAGGGAAGATTTCCTGAGACCTGGAACTTTAAGAACAAGAGGTCATAGATTTAAACTAGCTAAACACAGATGCCGAAGAAATATAAGAAAATGGGCAAGAGCTACGAGGAGAGGTTAGAGGCATTAAATATGCCAAAACTAGAAGACAGAAGAAAATGAGGTGATATGATCACTACATACAAAATAGTAACAGGAATTGATAAAATCGATAGGGAAGATTTCCTGAGACCTGGAACTTTAAGAACAAGAGGTCATAGATTTAAACTAGCTAAACACAGATGCAGAAGAAATATAAGAAAATTCACTTTCGCAGAGTGGTAGACGGTTGGAACAAGTTAGGTGAGAAGGTAGTGGAGGCCAAGACCGTCAATAGTTTCAAAGCGTTATATGACAAAGAATGCTGGGAAGACGGGACACCACGAGCGTAGCTCTCATCCTGTAACTACACTTAGGTAATTACACTTAAGTAATTACAGGTGGAAATTGAGTGCCCAAATGAGCCATAGAGACGTTAGAAAGAATTTTTTCAGTGTCAGAGTAGTAGACAAATGGAATGCATTAGGAAGTGATGTGGTGGAGGCTGATTCCATACACAGCTTCAAGTGTAGATATGATAGAGCCCAGTAGGCTCAGGATCCTGTACATTTAGTCGATTGACCGTTGAGAGGCGGGACCAAAGAGCCAGAGCTCAACCCCCGCAAGCACAACTAGGTAAGTACACACACACACACACACTCTCTCTCTCTCTCTCTCACTTACTTACTTACTTACTTACTTACTTACTTATTTACTTACTTAGTTACTGACTTACTAAAGGCTTCTATTTAGGTTCCCGAGGTCAAACTACCGACCCTACCAAGGATCATGCAAGTGCAACCCACAACAGTTGCCTAGCTCCCAGGTACCGATTTACTGCTAGGTGAACAGAGGCATTATGTGAAATGAAACGTGTCAATCATTACTATCCTACCCGGAAATTAAACCCAGGATCCCCTATTGTAAGTCGAGAACGAAGCCAACTGAACTACGAGTCTATTAGCCCTTGTTAATATTATTTGAACGGTGGTGGAGAAAGGTAACAGATGCTAATGATGGGTTTAGGAATTTAACTCCAAAATTTGTTGTTTCATTTGCTTGGTAATTAATAGTGTCTTGAAATACTCTCCCCGGGGGGGGGGGGAGCAAATTTAAACGTTCCGTCATCCAACCCGGCTAATATTTATTTGTCTACAAAATAAGTACTCACGTAAATACCCATTGTCTCACTAAATAAATACAGATGGGCGTCAAATAAATCTTTTAATGGTCTTAATGACTGGGGTGAAAAGAACGAAGTGGTTTGGAAATAAAGGAAATGCAATAATATTGTAAAGGCTGGCGGCGGCGGCAAGCTGGGCCCCGCTCGCCGCTGCCGCCATTAGTCCACCTCTTGCGTCGTCTCTCACACTCAACAGTTTCCTCCCCGATATTGAAGGTAAGAAGCTAGACTTTGCCTCAGTCTCTTGACACGAAACTCGGTTAACACGTGTGTATGTATGTGTGTGATGTAAGGCAACATATTGGTATTGTGTGGAGTGGGTGGTGTAGAGGTGACTGATATAGCTGTGGTGACACTCTGGCCGCTGCGTCGCACTTCACAACTCTTATTATAAAAATGATTGTAAACCCGCAGAAGACTGGTTTACCGGCGAGGTTAATACCCCGAGTGTACTGGTGGCTTAGTAGGTGTGTGTGTGGTGCTGTACTGATTTTAGCAAGGTACAGACGGTGACAGGGAGGTAAAGTAATGTAATTGGGAGCCAGAAAATGTTTGTATAAACCGCTCGTGGTTTATACAAGGCACGAGCGGTTTGAGTCCTGTTCCCTCTGACACATTTATTTATTTATACATATACAAGAAGGTATATTGGGATTGTGAGGATACATAGGATAGTAATTACAATCTTGTAAAGCCACTAGTACGCGCAGCGTTTCGGCCAGACACTCGCAACTTACTGAAGCAAACCCAATTAAAAACCATAATTTTGAGTGAATTACTTGTATATGTGTATTCGTTGTATTGGGTAAAGTTGCTAATTAAATATTGGCATTATTGTATTGGGTAAAGCAGAACAATTTAAGTAAAAATATAATAACAAATTCTAACATTAATTTGTATTAAACATTGAAAATGAGTGTGATTTGTATGAGGCCATTTTTTAAATTTGTTAGCATTTTAATTGTTATAATTATTAGGTTAGGGAAGGTTTTAAACTTTTTGAGGCGTTGTTCATATAAAGTTACTTCTATCCTTCAAAAAAAAAAAAAAGAAACATTGGCCAGTATAACTATGGATTTCAATAGGTGTATGGTCAAGTCGAATTAAAGCATTTAGACGTTTTTTTTTTTTTCCCCCCAATTGTCTAAACCACGTAGTTAGGTTTGATGTAATAGCTTAAGCTCGGTTGCTTAGGTCGAGTAAGGTGTGAAGATTATAAAATCTATTTACAAACAGTATCGTGTATGATGCAACTTGTATCCATTTCGGCATACAGTAATGTTGCCAACTGACATTTTGCACACTGGTTCATTCGTCTATAATTTCTAAAACTGAGATTTCTCACGCCTTGCATACGTTTTCTGCCTAAGGAAATACTTTCCCGTTTTTTCATCACCTTCAGTACCATGGTTGCTACTATAACGCATCTTAATAAATAAAGAGATATACAGTAGATACTTTTTTTAATTTATTTACATTAGTTTCCAAAAAATGGCTTCTTTTTGCAGTTTTGTGTATATTAAATATAATTTAAATGTGTTAAGATCTTGGGTTTTTATGTATGTGTGTTTGATTTATTAGGTTGGCTGTTGAAGTCGGGTGCTAGAGTGTAAGAGACCTGGTTTTGTAGCAAATATGTTTACTGCCATTATCACCAATTGGTTTGCAGATGATGAGTCTCGATAACGTGGCTGAAAAATGTTGACCAAGCCACACACTAGAAATTAGAGACTGTTTCGTTCCATCCTGTACCATTTATAAAGTCAATTGTCGACCGAAATGTCGTCATCGTCTTCAATTTCTAGTGTGTGGTTTGGTCAACATTAATTGGTTTGTTCAAAGATGATCACACAGTGATCACCCATCCTCGTTGGCATTTAAAGTTTCATATTTTGGTTCATTGTCAAGATAGTCCAATCTGGTGGGAAGGTAATCTAGTTTTGCCTAACGTGTTGAATCGGAATGTTCTTCATCTTAATTTTTCTTAACATGTCTCTCCATGTCTACTTCCCCAATCTCTCATACTGGGGGTTTGTTGCCTCAGTGTGTCTGAGGGGGAGAGATGGAAGGTTGTAGGGAGCTAGAGAGATGGGAGACTGGTCTAGTTGATTAGGTTTAGTTGCAGATTTCAAGTTTTTCATAAAGTTATCAATAGTATACCAAATTGTGAATCTAGCATTGAAAGTGATTATTGCAAAAATTTTGAGTGTATGATGTATGCTGCAATTTTCTCCAAAGACACCAAGTGCCTTTAAATTGTTTTATCCTTCACCTTAATACAGTAAATCAAATAAAGCATTTGTGCTTTTGATGGCTTGTTAGGGATAAGTTGATTTAGTCATTATTAAAACTTCAAAGCTCTTTAAGCACCGCACTGCACACTGGTTTCGACAAAAACGTCATGGTGTAATTGTTATGACATCTTTTTTGTTTTATAAATATTCAAGTAAAGTTAATGTCAAAATATTTCTAAACCATTTTCATTTCAAAACAGTGATGAGAACATTAAAAAACCCTTTAAAATATAGCCTAATTAAAAAAAACAGTGCCTTAGAGCATTCTGCGCAGTACAGTGGTTAAATATTTGGTTGTCATCCCGGTTATTTAACCCTTTCGATGTGACAATTTGCAGTGCTTGCCTGACAAGTACTGTATTAGTTTACTGCTAAAAGGTTGTTTCAATGTCTTCCAACATTTGTTCAGCCATCAGGCTTTCAGAAAGTTTGGCCCCATAGCTACTGCTGTCTGACAGCCACTCTCTCCTTGTTTGGTAGATCCCATCATTTAATAATTACTCATTCCAGTTCAAAATTTGGTCACCATTAAGTGCCATAGTACCCCATTATAAATGTGGAGAAATAAAAATGAGAAAGGCCAGACAATAAAGTAAAAACTAATAGCTTGCAAAAAAAAATGTAATATTTCTCCTTCCTGGCAAACACAATCTTCATGGCTAGGATTCTGGCTTGTACAGGTTTATTTCTCTGTAATAACATTTATAGACTACTGTAGTCCAGTTCTTGGACCAATTATGCTATAAAAGACTATTGATATACTTTAAACTGTGTAACTAGGAGATCAAGATGGTTAATTAGGTAAATGAATTTGAGGTTCAGTTCCCGAGCCCATTATGTGCCTCTTGACCTTTTTCCACCATAGCCAGTGGGATAGGTATGGGGTGCATAATACAGTAAATGAAAGAAAATTAATATGGGATACAAATTTCCAGTTATTTATAGCTCTTGACATTACAAAAAGTGTAGTGTGTATTTTAATAAAATGGTGTGGATGGATTGATTATATGGAAATATTCAGTGGAACAGTGAGTGGGTTTGATGGCAGTAACTTGTCTCTATCACACAAAGAGCCAGAGACCAAAGAGACCAGAGCTCAACCCCCGCAAGCACAATTAGGCGAGTACACACATCCAGTCACTCCACTGCCACCCCCCTTCCCCCACCCCTCTCATTTAATAAGAATATACAGTACAGGTATTGTCAAAAATTGTATACACATGTAACACAAATTGATGGTGTTCCTGATCGGGAACTGGGGGATATCTGGAACATTTGTGTTCGTGTGCACTGATGAATTGAAACGTTAGCATTAAAATGTTAAGACAAGTGGATAGAAAAAAATCTTTGGCAATTATATTTATTACTGTAGTTGTATTTATGGTATTGTACTGGAATCATTTATGGCTTGGCATTACAGTAGTTGAACGTCATTTTTAAAAGCTCAGTTTGTTTCTCCATATTTTTTCTTGATACCACTGGAAAAAGTTTGGGAAACTTACTTTCGACCCAAGGAAAGAATGGCGTTGAAACAGAAGTGCCACAACGAAAGGGTTAATAGTTACCTTGTCAATAAGTTACACCCAATAAAATAAAGGTTAAGAAAGTTAATGGTATCATGTGTAATATTTAAGGTTGAGAACTAATGGATTTTAAATGTTTGCAGAGAAATTCGACCTTTACTGCCTTGAAGTTGTGAAAGCAATTTTCAAAAAAGTTTGCTGAAAGTGTAAGTATTTAGGGGAAATTTTTTGCTTCATTTCTAAGCTTTCAGTTACTCCATGAAGGTAAGTGAAGGTGTGGGGAATTGAGACCGAGTAATGAGCAAGGCACTATTTTCATCTAACCCTTTTGTGAGACATGTACCATTCCTCACAAAAATCACACAAAGAAAAAATTAGCCAAAAAAATTCCCCTCAAAGTGAGGCATGTATGGTTACAGATAGATACATCCATGGGTTTCAAAAATTTCTCTGGTTGACCTGCTAATCAGTCTTGCCTAAATCTACAAACATCTACATCTTGGGTATTACTTGCCTGAAAAAAAGTGTTTTCTGAGAATATTTGTGTGGTTTTTTGTCCTATTTGTCCTATTTTTGGCGAGCTTTGAAAATGAGTGATCATTGTCTGTCTTTGAACCTTTAGAAATTCTAAACGTGTTGATTGTGTATATTTATATGAATTACCAGATGCATACCCTCAGCAGCTTAAAGATCAACTTATGAAAATAGAATACTGGTTAGAAAACCTCTCAAACCCTGCACCTAACCTTGCTTGGTGACTTCAACTTACTGCACCTGAATTGGAAAAACATACCAATGTGTGTCCCGGGAAGCAGTCCGAATGAACTGTCGCACACAGATAACCTTGTGCAGATGTATATCAGACTTGCCGTAAGCCAGCAAATAGTAGGAACCAGAAGAAAAGAGAACCTTGGATATTAGTTTGACGAACAATGATGATCTTATTCGAGACATTGATTGCAAATATTTGCTTCAATCAACTTGGGTCACAACCTAATTGATGTTTAGACATGAATGGGTAATAGACCTGTGCAGCCAGTCTTAAATTAAAGAGGAGAATTCAGCTAATTAAATTTTAATAAGAGATCAACTGGAAACACATAAACAAAGACCTCATGGAAATATACTGGGAAAGATGGCTAGATAATGCACACTTAAACCAATGCTTTGAAAAAAGTCACAGTAGGACTGGAAATGTGTGAAAGTCAAAAACCACTAACGAGAAGGTGAAAAGGATGGAAACTGGTATGAGAATGTTTTCTCTAAGTGAAGAAAACAAATATTGGGACATGTCAAACATTCCACTCTATCCCAAGAATGACAGAATGCTATGTAGAGAAATAGAAATGATTGCACTAACGTTGCAAGAATTTGATGAAGTCCAGAGGCCAGATTCACAAAGCGGTTACTCAAGTACTTACGAACGTGTACATCTTTCCTCAATCTTTGACGGCTCTGGTTGCATTTATCAAGTGGTTTACAAGCATGAAAACATCCCAATCAACTATTGTTATTGTTATAAAACAGCGTCATGGTACTACGGAGCTCATCAACTTAATCTTTGGCAACTTTGTTTACAATTATCGAGAAAAGATCTACAGGTTTGAGAGTATTTGTGTAACTGCTTCGTAAATCTCTCCCCAGGAGAGGCAGAGTGCAAAAGGCCACAAGTGAAATATGTAGAGGAATTGAAAATAGTTTTTCCTATGCAAAATCTAGAAAAAGCTACATCTTACATTGGGCCCTTGCACAAAAGCAATGGAACTTTCACAGATAACAAAGAAATGAGAAGTACTAAGTCTACAAGAAGATTCTGCTTTCAATGAACCACTGAACACATTGATGATCAATGATCCAAACAAATTCTTTATGAATAATGCCTCCATCAAACCACATATCAGATGTTGCCTAACCCCACTGTTCTCATATCAGACATAAGCAAGGATGCAGACTATTAGTTTCATACTTTTTGCAGATAACTTATTTTTTTTTCTCCAGATAAAAAAGTGACATGGAAAGTTTGCAAACTAATGAGATAAAATGGCTTTATGCTTAATTGGTGCCTCTGTAATACTTCAACTTGGCAAGCAATACTCTATAATATTCATTTGTGCTCAACTTTCTTCATCCCATTTTGAAGTGAGCTTTCAGTTTACTCATTGAATAATTTGATGATTTAAGAGTTGAAAGCTGACTTTCAAAAACTGACAATTTTAACATTCTTATGTGTATTTGAAATCTAAAATTTGCTAGTTGCTAATGTGTAGAAGGAAAATGGCATTTAATAAATTGTGGGAGTTTGCTGGACTCCCCCAGAAATCGTGCATTGGATGTATGAAATGCCCTTTTCTGGTAAATCAATTGGTAGTTCACAATATCTGCAAAGTTCCTTCTTCCAAGGGATAGAGAAAATGGGGGTGGGGTTTCCTTTCTGTTCAGCTGGCAGGGACTTTGACTAGGTTGAGTGTGTTACAGTTGGTCATTTTTCCCCAATGGTAGTGGTTTGTTTCCTTTAGGGCTGCTAATTTCCTTGAAGCATTTTCTTTTGATGTTTATTTTCTGGAGTTTTCTTCTGTGTTAAGATTCTTTGACCCCACAGGTCTCCAACTAGTCACAGAGCCAGATTCTGGTTGTGGGGACTGGTAGGCTTGAGTGGGTGAGAGAGAGGACTGGTGCTTTACTTAGCGGAACTGCAGTGTGACACATCAGAAAAGGGACTTTCAGTATCAATTGCTTTATTTTTAAGGTTATAAAGTTTGTAATTACAAGTTTATTTGTTGTACTTTGAGGATTTTTAAATTATTGTTTTAACCACTGTGATGTGCAAAGTTTGTGAAATTCCCTGTGCGCGTGACACGCCTAGACACGGTCGCGCGGGCAAGTCAAGCACTGGGTGTTGCCACAAATATATTTTCAATTATTTGTTCTATATATTTCCAATGCGGTTTTATTAATTTTTTTTATCGTATAGGATGCATATTTGTGCCCTTTACAATATGTATACAGTAGAACGTTCATAATGTTCCATGGAACTGTGATACATGTGGCAGTGATGTGTCCACAATAAATGTTTGTCGCAATATTACTTGTTAAAAGCTCGCTAAAATTACAATATGTACAATTTCACACACTATTTACGCAGTGACACTATATTACACACACAGTACTTCGGAAGTGAGTAATAATCAATGAATCATGGTACACATTGTGACTTTGCTTTCATTGCACCAGGTACAGATAGATTTTCGCTTCCTGTTTCTTCGTTCCATGTGCTTGCAAATAACGCACTCATGTACACCCTTGGCTTTAATACCTATAGGTGGTATGTAGCCAAGCTTGTAAAGCGTAAGGTAGTCTTGAAAAGATTATAGGAAAAGATCAGTTTGTGAAAAGTCTTGAAAAGATCGCTTTGTAAGGTCCCACGCAGGAAGAGATTCAGCCAGCCTCGAAGAGTGTCCATCAGTCAAGAAGAGATTCGGCTATTCTTGAAAATATCTGGAGAGCACCACCATGGAAGCCGTTAACACTGTTCATCTATGCTACTTGTATCAGATGCATCATCACTGAATGCAGAAAAAGATTAAATGTATCATCTATAAAAATTGGAGATAGCATAGGTGGTCAAGGGTGGCGCTCAGAGCTACAACTGGATACACTCACTGTATTGTTCTCATAGAGGCTGTATCACTTGCATCCGACCTTTTGTGTTGGGTCCTTATTGCGCCTAGCTTTACCAATATCATGACCCTTACGTTCTTCAAACAATAAGGTTTGAATTTCACCGACGGAGCGCGATCTTTCAACACAGCGTCGGACAGGTGTTTGGGAGCTAGAGGTGCGTGCGCCACCCTATGGTTGCTCACTAAGTACTAACCCAGCCAGCAGCCCTAGGGCATGCTGGGAATTTTTTCAAAGGTGGCTGCCTCTCACTGGAGGTCCTAAGAGTTCATTTCATACGCAACCAATCGCACACATTTAGAATGGGTCCGAAAAAATCAAAGTTTTCTAGGTTGGTACAGTTTCCCACCGACCGAGAATACTCGGTTGGCGCAGTTCAGTGGTTGAAAAAGAACCACGCCTATTGTAACCTAGTGTTTCCCACTTACTAAAATTATTTTTTCATACTTGTATTATATGCTATTGCACAGATGGTGACTGCTTTGGTATTGCACCATATTGAGATAGTATAGTACCCTGTTAGGGGTAGAGGATCAGCTCGGGTACAAGTACACTTGTTGATCCCTTCTTGGATGTACATCTGATCTGTTTGACTGACTTAAACATTTTTCATATTTTAGGGATGGCAAGAGGTAAAGAGACAGCCAGAATGGGTAAACAAAAGAAGGAAGAATCAAAGAAGAGACCCCCAAGTGACAGTAGTGAATCTGATTCAGATTCTGGCCCTGATGATGTGAGTTTATAGTTTAGTACAAGCTAAATTTTTTGTATTTGACTGAAAATTAGTCTATACAAGTACAGTAATATGTAATTAACTACAGCAAGTTAATTTTCTACTTTGTCATCGTGCTCATATTTATTGTATCCTGGTAGTTATACTCGTTTATGAACTTTGTTTTTATGAAAGGTTGAAAAAATTGCTATTACTGTAGGTTTAAAAGATTTTTAATTTTACAGAAAGAACCACCAACAAAGATGGCAAAATCTGATGCATCAAGTAGTTCATCTCGTCGTAAAAATGAAAGTGGCGAAACTTATTTTGAGCTAGAGCGCAATAAGCGGGTTACAGTGCGCCAATTCAGAGGCACATTGTATGTTGACATCCGCGAGTTCTACGAGAAAGACGGAAAGAATCTTCCTGGGAAAAAAGGTAAGACTTGAGTAAATTTGACATTCAAAATAGTTAAATTGCTAATGGAAATGGTTTAACAGTTGATCACCATTTTTACATTTTACACTTTAAACTGCTATGCTCATGTATTACATGTATAAACATATGAGTTTACAAGTAGAGGAACTTTTTCAACAATCTCAAATATGTGTTCTTTACCAGACCTATATCAAGAGTAAAGAAATTATACCTTATTATTTTCAGTAGTATTACTGTATTTGTCTTTTGCAGTTTTTGTGCAATATTGGGAGAATACCTTAAAGTATAGGCTTAAAGCAGTGAAGGGTTTATTATTGACAGATTTTTATATATATGTATAGTGGCACCAAAATTTATAAATGTGCCTTGTTGTAATCCATAATCCTGGTTTCCTTGGTTGTAAATGATTTTATAGAACGTTTTGTGGTATTATAGATTTATGAAATGTTTGTTTGCAGGAACTGTTAGATATATTTATTTACTGTAACCTTAACTTGCTTAATGTTTCGTTTCATAATTAGAGGCTAAAAGTGATGCCACCCTCTGGTCAGTATCTTGGTACAAAGTATTTAATTGGTCTGCCTTCTGGTAAGACTGATCAGTTCTAAAATGGCTTAAATTGAAAACTAGCATTCATTCTAACCCACCAATTATCTAACCTTTACCAACTTCATGCTTTTAATCTTTTTTTTTTTTTTTAAACTCAATCCTAGCAGGAATTTAAGGCGTCTGGTTGTTTCCCTAGATTGGCTGGCTATATTCAGGGTTTGGGAATATTTGCTGAAATTAATCTGATTAAATTTGCCTGCAGTGCTAACACCCTCTTCTATTTTTGTTTATTGGATGGATTGATAAGCTGTCTCCCAGATTTTATGGGAACTCTTTCAGTAGTTTCGTTTACCTATGCAGACGACAAGTTGTAATAATGTGCCTGAAGAAATGATGACCAAACTACAACTCGGAAGATGGAGAAGAGACAACGTTTTGGTCCATCCTGAACCATTATCAAAGCGTTTGATCACACGCCTTAATAATGGTCCAGGACAGACATCATTTGTTTTCCTCTGGCTTTGGTAATCCCTTTAGAGAGGGCTCTGCCTCTGACCCCATGCCTTGTGGGTTGATGTGGTGGCTTGGGATGCTTCAGAGGGTGGTTATAGTCGCCTCTTGGGATCTTATCCATGCTACATTGGGTCCATTCTTTCAGAGCTCATGGTGGGGATGTCTGGTGGTGTCTTCCAGCCTGGTTTGCTCTTGGGTGCTTTGGTTTTACCATGTCTTATGAGCCCTGTGGTCCACTTTGTCAGGACCATGGTGGACCTTGAAGTGCTTTGTGGCATGGGTGCCAGTGTGTGCCTGTGTATGGACTTGTCTGCTGCAGTTTAGTTACTGGATTCCTCAGGTGTGCTGCACTCTTGGGCTTGAGGCATGGCTTGACCAGTCTTTTCTGTTTTGTGTTGCCTCTTGCTGGTGCTTGACAGCAGCTATGGCTCCTCTCTAGGGTTAGTGGGGGTCCTTCTTTACTTCCTCTTGAACCTCTTCCTCTTGGGGAATGTTCTTTCTGCAATTGGTCCCTGATCGTTTCTCTGGTGCTCTATTGAACGTTGGTGCTAGATTTTTGTGGTCCCTCCCACCCATCTCCATCCCTCTAGGGGTCTTCAATTTAATTTTTTCATATCAGTCAACTGTTTCTAGAGGACTTTTGTGTGTAATGTGGCACCATTCGTGTGGCTTGTGTTTTAGGCCTTCGGCCAATTGTGAGCATTTGTTCAAGTTGACTAGGTTTCTCCTTTTCTTGACGGTGGGTGACCTGCCCCCTTGCCTTATTAAGGGAGCCGGTCGGCCGAGCGGACAGCACGCTGGACTGTGATCCTGTGGTCTCGGGTTCGATCCCGGGCGCCGGAGAGAAACAATGGCCACAGTTTCTTTCACCCTATGCCCCTGTTACCTAGCAGTAAATAGGTACCTGGTGTTAGTCAGCTGTCATGGGCTGCTTCCTGGGGGTGGCGGCCTGGTCGAGGACCGGGCCGCGGGGACACTGAAAGCCCCGAAATCATCTCAAGATTACCTCAAGAAGCCCATCCTCCATAAATGATAGTGCTTCTAGCAACTATTTGATCATGATAGTGCTTCTAGCAACTATTTGGTTTAATGTACAAAATTGGACTGTTGTAACCTACGAAGTTTGTTGTGTACTGCACAGCATTAATTTTGCAGAGAATATAGGAGCCAAAAGCAAACATAGCTTTCCTAGGTCTAATATAGTTTAGTTATTTTAGACCTGAGTTAGGGCTAAAATAGCATGTATTACAACTAGGATTGCTTATTTAGCCCTTGGACAGTTGGAAAATTAAATGAAAATTCCAAATGTTTCGCGTTTGTACGCTTTATCAAGGATTGATAGTGTTGCAACACATTATCAATCCTGTATTCCTTGATAATGTGTTGGAACACAAACATTTTGAATTTTTATTAAATTTTCCTAGTGGCTACTGATGCATAACTGAATCATGTGATTTTTGTGATTATTCTTGCATCATACATAGTTAACATGTAAATGATGATGATCTTTGGTGATAGTGAAGCGGGATTGCAAAAGATTGTGAAAGAGTATAATAGGGTGTATGTGCAAGAGAAGAAAGTTAATGGTTGGTATATAACCAAATAAAGTTAGGTGTTCTGAGAGTAAGGAATGGTATGTGGATTTTATAGATTAACTTGGTTGCAAGGCCAATTTTAACTGAAGGATTAAATTAGTGAGAGAGACACTGGAAGAGTAAATTTTAAATACTTTAGGGCATTGTAGGATAACGATGGGATTAAAGAGTGGCATAATGAGTGGAAGAGCAGTATAATGAAAGGGAAGAAATGTTGATATGAGAGTTATGGACTGAGGTACTATACTACTTCCAGCCTTGTCTTGGAAGTGAAACTTAAAAATGGAAAGGGGCAGTGCTCTGAATTAGTAAATTTTTGTTATAATGAAAAGTGGCTGGTATGTGGAAGTTATAGCAATGAGGAAGAAGCTAAAGGGTTGTGGGAATGAAATGTTAAGTTTGTGGGGTAGAGTGCAATAGACTGACTCGTTAAATTCTTGTAGATGGCTAAAATATTTCGGAATATATTATAATAAATTATAACTGCAGTAAGTGTTTCGATTGTAATGTTCTTGCGGTGCAAGATTATGGGCAACTGTGTAATCCATTTCTGTTGCGTGTTAAGGTTAGTCCATTGTGAATGTAAGTTGGCAAACTATGGTAAACATCTTAAAATGTTTCAATATAATTATTGTATTTGTTTATTCTCCAGGTATTGCACTGACAGCATCAATGTGGAACAAACTCAAGTCATTAAAGGATGATGTGGATGAAGAAATAAAGGCACTTGCATAAAGTTCTTGCAGCGAAATCCTTTTCAGGCATTTTCAAGACTGGCAACACTTTTTATTGAATGTCTTAATATCTTGCCTTCACTTGATGTTTTTACTTCAAATGTAATTCTTTTACTTTACCTAAATTTCTTTCAAAGAATCTTAGGTTTTGAGAAGTAAAATAACTTTGTTTAGTTACCGTATAATCTTTTGAGCGAGTTATTTATTTTTTTATTTTTAGTGAAGGATTTATGGGAAAGGCTGTCATGCGTGATGAGTGAAATATTTGATCATTGTGTGCCAGAAAGGTTTACAGGAACCTTGGAGATGTGATCAACATTAGAAGTAGTGTAAATGTATTTGGCATTGTGCAGATTTAATCTTGTCAACTGCTGTGTTTTGAAATCATTAGCTTATGGTGTTTTGTTCTAGAAGTGTTAAATTCCTTCTGGAAATGTAACTAGAAGACTTACTGTTTTCATGATTATTAATGTTGCATGTAAAAAGTCGTTAAAAATAAAAATACCAACCAAGTTTCATTATCTTTCCCCACTAAGAGTAGCATACCAATTTGCTTCTATGGGAGATTATTGGTTGAAGTAAATATGGCGGTCTTTTGAAGGTCCTCGGCTGGGGTGAAGATTCACTATTGGTAGTTAATGTGTTTATTAGTCTTCCCGGCTTGGTGCCTTCTTTTGATAATTACTTACTTCTTTTGATACTGGTAGTTCTTGTAATGGGTGGTGGACAAAACAGTAGAGGACAGTGGGGGGGGAGGGCACAGTATAGTAGGAGAGGAGGACAGTTCAGAAGGATTACACGTACGGTACGTGCATCCCTAATAAGTTTGAACAGGGCCATCCTCCACTTAAAGCATTGCAATCATATATCTTTCCCTAAGGCTCTGAGCTAGATCGGCTATCTAGATTCTTGCTCTACCATTACCTATGCACCGCGTTCCACTACTTTTTTTGCCACTGTTCTTCCCATTCTTCGTTCCAAAATCATTTTCAAACCTTTAATTCTAACGCCTACCAGCTCCCCCTTCCACTACTCTCCTATCCATGGCCACAGATCAGAGAAGTGCCAAATCAAATTGGGGAATGGAATAGTGCCCATACACTTGAACCATTGGGGACCGAACGCAGATCCAGCAAGATAGTCACTATAGCGACCAGTCCAAATGAGGACAGCGAGTTCGTGTACACAAGGGCGAGAATAACCATACTCCCACTAACAACACAAATGTTTCCAACAATATGATGGAACACTGTCTTTCAAAGGCTGTAGAAATTAGCAAGGTAACCTAACTATAAAGCTCTTAAGCCAGTATGGAGCTGCAGTAAGGACGGTGGAGTGAAGGTTTGGTGCCCCATCACTGGCACCATAGGGGATCGAACGCTGACTTGCAGAAAGCTCATTAAATCACTTAAAACCAATATTTTCACTTTTCTAACCCAATATGAAATATTTTTCAGAGATACATGTCCTGATGAACCAGATACATGAAAGTAAGAGTGTTTTCACTGGTTAAGATAGCAAATAGTTTTTGTTTTCGTTGAGATTTAAGCAAATGTTTAAAATTTTGAATAAATAGTCATTGATTTATGATGTTTACAAGTAATGGGGGAGTTTAAACTGTCTAACCTTGACAGGTTGCTTGATTAATGCGTTTTTTATTTATACAGTACATGTTTATGTAAGAATATTTTCGTAATTTGGTAAAATTGACACAGCCAGAAGTGATATACTGTATATCACGGGGATGTATGTATGGACAGGGACAAGTCTCTGCGGTGTAGTGGTAAGACATTCGTCCGGCGCTTTGCGAGGGCTTTGCCTGGGTTCGTATCCTTGGCGGGGAGGATTGACTGGGTGCCAATCCTTAACTGTAGCACCTGTTCACCCAGCAGTGAGTGGTCACCTGGTGGTTAAACTATTTGGCACCACCTACACCACCTGGGTGTATAAGTATACGCAGGTGGTAACTAGCCAAGGTTTCAACTTGAAATATTTATGCATTTAGATATTTACATGTAAAAAAACATGTTCGTTTTTGCATTCTGCCGCAACGTTCAGGTTACAGTGATGGAGGGAGACATGGAAGGTGATGTAGGGGGTAGATATGGGGAGTGTGTAGAGGCAGATAGGAAAAGTGTGCGTATGGAGGGTGTCTGTGAGGGAGATGGTGAAGGTGTGTACTGGAGAGACCGGGAGTGTTGCTGTTGGGGAAGAGAGGGAGGGTGTGTGGAGGGCAGATTGAGGATTGGGGGGGGGGGTGATAGAGAGGGTGTGAACGTGAAGATGTACAGTGATAAGAACAATGTGTATTGAAGATGGTTACAGTGATGAGGGAGACAGGGAGGACACGCGCGTGTGTGCGTACTCACCTAGTTGTGCTTGCGGGGATTGAGCTCTGGGGCTCTTTATTTCTCGCCGGCGCTGGGAATCGAACCCGGGTCACAGGATTACGTGTCCAGCGTGCTGTCCACACAGCCACCGACGCCCTGTGTGTTCGTGTACGTGTGCGTGAGAGTGAAAAAAAAGAGAAAAAGAGAGATAAAAAGGGAGTGTGTAGGGGAGAGGCGGGTACCGACCCCGAGCACCGCCGGGTTCCCTGTCTAGTAATGCTTCATACTAAGCTTCCGGTGTAACTGTACATAAGGCCAAACATCAAACACAGTTACCTTTAAACTGTATTTGACAAACACAAATTATGTCAATATAACTGACAACATGATTCGCCCAACTTTAATCACACTCAAAAGCATAATTGAGTTTAAACGTTTATTGTCTCTTCCTATAATAACTGTGGCTAGACCATTATTTCTAAGGCGAGTAATTTAACTAAAAAGATTCACCTATCATAAAGTTTCAAAACGTTATGAAAAACGTTAATTGAAAGTTTCCTCTTCTAACCTTACCGAGTAAGCCGGACGACTCTAACAGAAAACGAGACAGTACGTCACTTTTGTGAGTCGATTTCATTTCAAATTACGTCCAAATTTGGCCATAGCGTGCATACGAGCCAAAAGTGACGTTATTTTTAAGAGGACGAGTTGTTCGTATACAGAGGTGAAACATTCCGAAACGGTGATGCCAGGATTTACGTCCAGAAGTTTGCTTGCAGTGACGATACTATCAACATCAAGTGTGTCACACTTGTGTCACGCTTAATTGTGTCACGCTTAATTGTGTCACACTTGTGTCACACTTGTGTCGTAAACTCAGGCGAGGTATTCTTATCCAAGAAGAAATCCGCACTGGGAGACTGTATACTGACTCTGCAACCATCAAACACTCCATTACACCCAACCATAATGAAAAAGAATTTAACAATGCTACCAGTATACGAAATTTGTTTATATCAAAAGCCAAAGGATTCCTTGCATGAGGCCATTTTGTGAGTGCAAATGACAGCAACACGCGCGCGAAGACCCTCATTACCGCTAATGGAATCACCAACCTCAAAATTACCTGTCGAGAAGCGCATTAAAAGACCTCACCGCAGGTGCCAAGTAACACCTGCCTACCTGTACCCCTCGCAGCTCATCTAACATCACTTCGTCACACGGGCCCTTGCCGTGCAGTGAAGAGACCCGGGTAAACCTGCAACAGTTATTACATAAACAAGATACTTCGCCACCGCTGTGTGAACATGTTGCTGCGAGCGTGGGTGCTGGTGCTGGTCTTCGCTGGTGCTAGCGGTAACGTACGCAGGAAGCCTTCCGTGAGTTTTCCTTCATTTATTATTGCTATTACTATGATATTGGTAATGATAACATTGTTAAACATTGGTGTTAGGGTACTCATTATATCATCTCTCAACTTTACAAAATTAGTAGACTGTCTAGCATGGGCCCTTAGTATAGAGACAATGGATGACATATATATGTATTTTTAATCTGCACAGTGTAAATATTTCATTCAAAATTATCTGCTGCCAGACGTCTTGGCCAAATATCCCCAGTTTGCTAACTGTAGGGAGTAATGAGTGATTGTAACCTATTCACCGCTGCCCATTAGATGGGGGGCGGTGTGCAGGACAAACATATCAATTGTAACACTAGCTCTCCACATATGTCAGTTGCTTAAACTAGAAACCGTACTTGTGGTCGATCTCGAATCCATAGTTGATGTGACGATGTGCATTGAATTTTGTAACTAGCTCATCGAGATTGTAACTTGCTTAGCTAAATGAATCGTGAGGTTCAGTCCCGGAGCCCATTATGTGCCTCTGTAACCCTTTCCACTACCACCCACAGGATGGATATAAGGTGCATAATAAATGAACTAAATTAAACTAATCTGTACATTAAGTGCACCGAAATTTTTAATCAGCACATACAAAAACAGTGTAAGCAAATCAAACGTATGACCAGTCAATTGTGAACCGATGTGCTCTGATAAATCCATAATTACAAAATAACCATATATATAATTTGTGTTAATTGGTAGAATTTATTTTTTGAAATAGGTTCCAGGTTGCGGTGATCCATGTGGAAATAAAGCAGATGGGTTGTGTACACGGAGCGAGGTGTGCCAGGTGCCGGTGCGGGGCAAGAACGAGTGTCAGGACCCTTGTCTTTGCTGCACAGGCGAGTTGTCTGGTGTATTTGTGAGTTGTCTAGTGCACAGGCGAGTTGTCTGGTGTATTTGTGAGTTGTCTAGTGCACAGGCGAGTTGTCTGGTGTATTTGTGAGTTGTCTAGTGCACAGGCGAGTAGTTTGCTGCATTAGTATGCTGCCCAAACACGCTCAACAGAGGAATGCTCAAGAGTTTGACGAGGAGGAAGCGAGAAAGTCGAATTATCAGAGTGAACTTACTTTGCCGTTATAATTGATATATGCGGTGGTGCTGTTAATAACAAATTAGCCTGTGATGGATATTCTATAAATCCTAGATTTGTTAGTTCTAATAGTTAGATAAGAATGCTGGTGTCCGTACATAGCCCTGAAAATTAAATCCCAACATAAAAATAGATCCACGTATTAGGTATGAATCAAGCAAAAAGCTTGAAAATTCTTCGCAAAATAGAAATCAATTTAGGATTCTAAACATCAACCTTTTCATAACGTTGATGTTTAGAATTAGGTTTAGAATTATCCTAACCTAATCAACCAACGCATAGAAAACGTGGATGTTTGTTGTTTAAGATTCGCTACTTGAAACAATAAGTTCCAAGTAGCACGGGCTATGGTGAGCCCGTTGTGGACTTACCTGGCACAGGAGCGGGGTTGTCTGTGCATGGATGTTTGTGAGCCGCTACTTTTCATAGTGCCTCGTATCTTGTCCGTTGGGATCATTGCGTACAAAATGCGTGAATTATATAAGTGTCCGTTACTCCTGATGATAACTTGCTTAGCTAAATGAATTGTGGGGTTGAGTCCCTGAGCCCATTATGTGCCTCTGTAACCCTTTCCAGTACCGCCCACAAGATGGGTATGGGGTGCATAATAAATGAACTAAACTAAAAACTAACTGATGCCGCAGAGTCGAAGAGGTAACAGAACTGAATTTTCTGCTCTGAAATTGAAGTTTATACTTTATTTCCAGTTAACCCTGTACCTTAAAGATTAAGATATTTAACCCAACCCACATAAATAAAAATAAATTAACGACGTTCCGCTTTCCACTTGATAAAAGTCCAGGATGGACCGAAACAATGTCATTTTCATGTGTGTGGGTTAGATTAATAGTTTCAGCTATGATATAATGGCGTTCTTTGCAAATAAAAATGATTTGCAAGTTATAATATTTCACTAGAATCGCTTATTGATAAGGTAACACTTAACAATATATTAAATTTAAATAATTTTAAGGAACTGTACTTTTCCTCAGCATGCGAAAGTGAAACAAGCAAGCAATGTTCGAGGTACGAGGGAGGTCAGTGCAGCAGCAGCTGTGGTGACAATCAGCGTGTGATTGCCAAAGCGTGTAAGGCAGGCAGTAACTGTGTGTGTTGCGCCGACCCGTGCAGGCCAACCAGGTCGTGTACTGACGCCCAGGGCTTGTGTGTTGACAATGACAAGGCTTGTCTTAATGGCAAGCTCGACCCCAAGGGATGTGTTGGCCGTGACTGCAAGTGTTGCATACCAAACTGTGAGTATATATCTTTTATCCATTCAAGAGTCAACGAATGCTCTACTATATGAAAATAACACTGCGCAAACACTCCATGCAAAAAAAAGGGCCCAGTCTTTGGAACTCCTTTCCTGATGAAGTAAAGCATTGTCCAACCCATGCCCTGTTCAAAAGTAAACCCAAAAAATGTCTAATTTCATCCTCATAGTTTCTCAACTCACACTGTATCTTGTACTACCCACTTTTCCAATATTAGTATTTAAGACATATATTCTTATCAGTGTAATCACCTCTGTCAACTTATATTGCAGTTATTTGTTGATATCAAACCTTGCTACAATGTACCTTTTCATCTTCCCTGATATGTTAGATTAAGGACCTGCCCGAAACGCTATGCGTGTTAGTGGCTTTGCATGAATGTAAAAAATACCAATCTTATGTAATCTCACCAACCCATTGTACCTTCTTGCAAATAAATGATGATTATTATAACAGCGTATTAGAGTAATAAACAACCAAATTCGTACCCGGGCTCTAAATAAATTCTTGTGTTTCCATCAGTCTTGACGAGACTCAAACCTCGATCTGAACTTATAAAGTGAGTGTTGAACACACGGACCACCGCACTAAACAATTCTCCAGGGTTAGGTTCGAATCTCTAACGGATCGCTTGGCGTTTTGATGCATAAAACTGATGCTTTGGGATCATTCTAGATTCAGGTAAAGATACATACATTGAAAATGAGTTACAAACATAATGTTTGATTTATAGATAGAGCTAGTATATTGCCCGAAAATGCTGTGCGTATTAGTGGCTTTAGGTATTGTATGTACCAGCTCTATCTATAAATCCAACATCATGTTTGTAACTCATCTTCTATGTATGTAATTTTTACCTGGATAAACATTTTGATTTTGATATACAATGGCTGAAGCCACTAATACGCACAGCGTTTCGGGCAAATTGTGGGACAAAAGAATTCTAGCCTTACACATAATATATAATGATGCATGTGTAACAAGGTATCATAAAGTTATGTAATCTTAATGCCCCCCTTTTATAATATTAATCACTTTCTTGTACGTCATAACTAGAAGTCCAAAATACTTAAGTTTACCCATATACAAAGCCATCTGTTCCGTTCTGTGTATTTCTTCACGCTTTTGTTTTCTTTAACGGATAACTGTGATAAGGTCCTTCCCTATTAAATATAATAATCATATTTGAGGCTTTTGTTTTAACTTTTTTATGTGTTGTAATATTGTATTCCCTTGCCTTTATTTCTTTGTATTTTCCTCTTCATCCCTCCTTTCATTCTGTACTCTTTGTCTTCCATCCGACATTATTCTAATGTTTACAAAGGTTATGATGTGAAGTTTATGATAAGTTTCTGGCTTTAATCTCTGCCACTTCTACTTTTCTTCCTGTCCTTCCCGGTCTTCCGTGTCCTTCTCTTTATGTATTCATTCTCATCTTGCTATTCTTCCATTTGGTCTTTGGCAAGGAGCCCGAGAGGGATCGAAAGCGGTCAGACATAATTTGATTGTCAAATGTGGCATGCATACATACAGTATATATACCTGAGAGCCACTAACACTAGTGGCCTCGACGAGGACAGGGAGCCTGTGGCTTGTTGAAGGCCTCCCATTTCCCCTTGATAATCCTTTCCGACTGTACTTTAAAAGTAAACAGAGCTTTGGCATTTTCGGCTATGGCCGGTAGGCGGCTCCATTGGCTTACAAACCTGTGAGTAAAAAAGCATCTCCTGTTCTCAGTTCTACGTTGTGTCTTGATGAGCTTCAAACCGTTGCTCCTTGTTTGTGTTATACCTGACCTTCTGAAGAAAATTTCCGGATCAACATTCTCCAAATTGTTCAGTATTTTAAGTTTCAGTGAGATCCACCCTATCATGCCTGGTTAGCAGTGTTGATAGCCCTGTGTATATAATATATATCGTGCCCAAAAGCCAAAATCTCACAACTAGGAATAGTTATCATGAACCAATTTTCATATCAGCCGGAGCAATTTTGAACAATTTAAAATTTAACTTGTTAAATTTATCTTAATAATAGATTATATTGCTTACATTAATTTCTAAATTTATAAAGCCTAGTATTATGAACATTAGGCAAAATTAAGGAATAATAGGTATAATTAGGTTAGGTTGCTAAGTTTGTTTTGGTTAAAATAATGAAGCAAAAATACCTCAAGATCATACCTTACAAAGCTCAAGTTACAATTTTCAAAAATAAAACTTTGAATTAATTTTTTTTTTGGTTAGGTAACTCTGGCTATTTATTAGATATGAACTCTACATATATATAAGTATGCATCCAGATATACATAATATAATTGTGACTTACAATTATTTATTCGAATGCAACAATTTTAACAATCGTCGGATGAATTGTACTTGCGAATCTTATAACGTTATTATAGATAAATATGGCAAGCTCAACTCTCATCAGTCAAGCGTAAATTATAAGTAAATTTAAAATAAGAGAAATATTTAGCAAATGTAATTCAAGACCATAACTTTTCCTCAGCATGCGAGGGTGAAACAAGCAAGCAATGTTCGAGGTACGAGGGAGGTCAGTGCAGCAGCAGCTGTGGTGACAATCAGCGTGTGATTGCCAAAGCGTGTAAGGCAGGCAGTGACTGTGTGTGTTGCGCCGACCCGTGCAGGCCAACCAGGTCGTGTACTGATGCCCAGGGCTTCTGTGTCGACAATGACAAGGCTTGTCTTAATGGCAAGCTCGACCCCAAGGGATGTGTTGGCCGTGACTGCAAGTGTTGCATACCAAACTGTGAGTATATATCTTTTATGAAAATATCCACAAGGGCCATGCCGAGGGTTCGTATCTACGTTCGCTATTGTGATTTCTGTGTGTAGTGTAGTGTAGTGTAGTGTAGTGTAGTGTAGTGTAGTGTAGTGTAGTGTGTATATCTTTTATCCATTCAATACTCAACGAATGCTCTACTGTATGAAAACAAGAGCTTAGGGGCTAATTAGTAACCAAATTGGTACCCTGGCTGCAAATTAGCTTTGGAGTTTTCATCAGCCTTAAAAGAGAGCTCGAACCCCGCGCTGCAATTTACAAAGTGAGTGTTGAACACTAGGACCTCCACACGATACAATTCTCCAGAGCCCTAGATTCAAATCTTTGAGGGATGAAAAATGTTTGTCTGTTTGAATGCCTGTTCAAAGTTGAAGGCAGACGCTTTGGGCTAGTCTCACCTAAATATGCAGGAGACTGGTCTGGGGTATGGGACGGGCATAGGCTGCTCAGGGAAGGCCTTAGTACAATTATTTTAAGAAATATTGCCAATTATAAAGATCTCTACAATTTTCATGGAGTCAAGTGTGAACTATGGAGTGGAGTCTGTGGGAGTTGTTAATGAAAAGAACAATTAAAAGAAGGAACTGGGGCATGAGCTTGCACACTACATCACCGAATGCCCAGTTATCAGACCATTAAGACCCGTTGGCATGAGGTACCTGAAGCTTTGCAATTACTTTATTCACTCTCGTGTTCTTCAAGATATCCTCATATTACACCCAAAATTTGCCAGTGCAGGCTACTAAACATATGACCCTGTATGACTAACCATCCTGCGAGATGGGGACTTTTAGTATCACTGCTACCTTATTCACTCTTGTGCTCATGATGATATCCTCATAATGTTAGCATCACTTAGCTAGCTTATTTGGCACACTATACTCCCCTTCATATAGTCTAGGGTAGCTGCACAAATGCAGATGTTCCTAAATGTGTTAATATAAAAAAAGAAGTGAAAGAAAAGCGATTTGAGACCCATACATTTGTTTCATTGCTTTGTGTGGTGGGGGAGGATGGAGGACGAATGGTGCGGTGAGATGGAGATCGCTAGACAGAGAAAGTTGCTAGATAAATATACAGATAGGAAGATTACACACACACACACAAATAAATATATATATATATATATATATATATATATATATATATATATATATATATATATATATATATATATATATATATATATATATATAAACATAAAGAGAGACATACGGACCCGGGAAACGCCGGGTACCCCCCCTAGTAAATTATAAATAATTTTACAAATCTTTAAAAATTGTTTAAGAAATCTTCAACAAATCTTCAATCAAGACTCTAACTTTTCCTCAGCATGCGAGGGTGAAACAAGCAAGCAATGTTCGAGGTACGAGGGAGGTCAGTGCAGCAGCAGCTGTGGTGACAATCAGCGTGTGATTGCCAAAGCGTGTAAGGCAGGCAGTGACTGTGTGTGTTGCGCCGACCCGTGCAGGCCAACCAGGTCGTGTACTGACGCCCAGGGCTTCTGTGTCGACAATGACAAGGCTTGTCTTAATGGCAAGCTCGACCCCAAGGGATGTGTTGGCCGTGACTGCAAGTGTTGCATACCAAAATGTAAATATATAACTGTTATCGTTATCATTAATATTCATTTCCCAGAGTCATGTGAAGAAGAAGTATTTACGCATTTAAATATTGGAAACATGCTATATATAAAAATATCGTTAAAGATGCCGAAAAATAAACGCATCTCCACTTGTCCTTCTCCTCTTTATGTTCTTTCCAACATGTTCTTTCTCAATCTAATGGGAAATAAAGATAACTTTTCTAAAAAATGAAAAGTATTGTCATAAAACTTACGCTTCCCGCTCAAACATCTTCGGTATTCTACTTTATTTTAAAGTTTCCTAATTATCCTTAAAGATGTTTTTTTTGGTCCCTGATCAGAGCAGGAATGTTTGTGACCCTCATACCTCATAATCCTTTTCTCTGATGGCTGGTGACTCCTCATACTTTAATGAGGATAGGTTAATATGTAATTTGTGCAAGTTGTAATATAAATATATTTATTTATCTTTCAGGTTGTCGCACAACTGCGCCACCTACGTCAACAACAACAACACTACGACCAACAACAGCAACAACAACAACACTTCGACCAACAACAACAACACTTCGACCAACAACAACAACAACACTTCGACCAACAACAACAACAACAACGACAACAACAACATCCCCAACAACAACAACAACAACAACAACTACAACATCCCCAACAACAACAACAACATCCCCAACAACAACAACAACAACTACAACATTCCCAACAACAACTACAACATCCCCAACAACAACAACTACAACATCCCCAACAACAACAACTACAACATCCCCAACAACAACAACTACAACATCCCCAACAACTACAACATCCCCAACAACAACAACTACAACATCCCCAACAACAACGACTACAACATTCCCAACAACAACTACAACATCCCCAACAACAACAACTATAACATCCCCAACAACAACTACAACATCCCCAACAACAACAACATCCCCAACAACTACAACATCCCCAACAACAACAACTACAACATCCCCAACAACAACGACTACAACATCCCCAACAACTACAACATCCCCAACAACAACAACTACAACATCCCCAACAACAACAACATCCCCAACAACAACAACTATAACATCCCCAACAACAACAACAACAACATCCCCAACAACAACAACATCCCCAACAACAACAACTATAACATCCCCAACAACAACAACTACAACATCCCCAACAACAACAACATCCCCAACAACAACAACATCCCCAACAACAACTACAACATCCCCAACAACTACAACATTCACAACAACTACAACATCCCCAACAACATCCCCAACAACTACAACATTCCCAACAACAACAACATCCCCAACAACAACAACTACAACATCCCCAACAACAACTACAACATCCCCAACAACTACAACAACATCCCCAACAACTACAACATTCCCAACAACAACAACATCCCCAACAACAACAACTACAACATCCCCAACAACAACAACATCCCCAACAACAACAACTACAACATCCCCAACAACAACTACAACATCCCCAACAATAACAACTACAACATCCCCAACAACAACTACAACATCCCCAACAACAACAACAACACTCCCAACAACTACAACACTCCCAGTAACGACAGAACTTTTACCAATAATACTAACAACTAATTCACCATTCACATCATCATCACAATCATTGTCATCATTCACAGCATCATTAATATCACCACCACGATCACTATCATCATCATCATCATCACAATCATCACCATTGAGACCTTCACTATTGCCCTTATCACAAACAACAGAAACAACAACAACAACAACAATCACGACATCATAATTTTAACATAAATATTCAAACAAAAAAGTTTATTTGGCTGTTAAAAATAATATAAATCAAAGAAATGTTTACATAACACACAAGACCACCATACACATTTTGCTTTCATTGCTGTATACGTATGAGCACTCATACACGAAAAAAGATAAAGATAAGATAAAAGATAAAGAAATACAATTCTTTTGTAAATAAATAAAAACAAAAGATAAAGATAAGAAAAAGATAAAGAAATACAATTTCTCTGATATCTGTAATGAGTTTCACAGGTACTACAGCTTACTGTATTTCCAAGCGGCTAGGCTATCGCAACTGTTAAACTCTGTTACTTGAAAAAAAAAACTCTTCGAATACAATATTTAGATCACCGCAGGCACTTTCGAGGAGTAAATAAAGTTCACATTATTGATTTCAATATTATTAGTTTATTTAATTTATTTTTCCAAACTGATTTAGTTTTAATGTGTATTTTTTTATTTGTGATTAACCTCTTCCTTTTCTACCATGATTGAAATTATTCTGTGTTATAAATTCCAGCTTTGTTTACAGGGAAGCGAATTGAAGTAAACAATTTACAGTGACACTGTAATTCTTTCCTTGTTATAAGCAACATCTATGTGAGTTATTTGTACGTAAAGCTTTCAAGTAAAAAAAATTCCTCTAACAATAAATATAATTAATATGTAAATTTTTCAATTGACTGCTTAATAATGAAAGTCTAGTTTTACTGTCATTAGAATTATATAATAAAGGAGATCTGTTTACGAAGTTCACAGTGGAAACTGAAGCAAATAGTAATATGGGAACATCTGGGCCGCCCCCAGGACGCACACCTTTACCACTAGTGTGACCCAGGACGCACACCTTTCCAACTAGGACCCAGGAAGAGAGTCCGATTCCATACACTGCTCCATAGCAATGTATATATAAATATATATATATATATATATATATATATATATATATATATATATATATATATATATATATATATATATATATATATATATATATATATATATATATATATATATATATATTTGGGGGGGGGAGGGGGAGGGGGGTGCGTGATACGTGATGCGAGGACTTTGAGTGTTATATTAAACATTTACAGAAACACGTGTTCGCATTACACTCCTGCACAAAAAGCCGTAGTTGCTAACCTTCAAAAACTCGCGAAATTCTACATAGGTATCTGATGCGTGACAGACAATGGAAGAGTTACCTCGCCACAACGATTCCCTTCACATCATCGACAGTCACACTGGCCGACACATTACTGCCTCCTTGACATGGAAAACAGAGTTAGTCTGGAGGTGGCATATATGTCACGTCCGAGCGGTCGTACTGCCACGCTCCGGCGGTGGTCCAGGAGATCCACACGTGCTTACCCGCCCTGCCTAGTGGCCCGGTGGAGCGGCGGGACACGCTCCACAAGCGGGGCGTCGAGTGTGTCGCCCTCCGCCCCAATGATCAACACAGAGCAAGGACCATTACCACACACATACATGCTACCTCACACGCCGCTGCTGCGTCTCTCTCTCTCTCTCTCCCTCACCCACCACAAAGAATGTGGCTACGCCCAACTTTGTTACGACTGGTCATGGAAATTTTATCGATAGTTTTACTTGATATTTGTTTTGATATTTTATGATTAATAAAAATATATTATCTATACTACTATTATTATTATTATTACTATTATTGTTGGTGTTGTTGCAAGGAACTTGCACCCAATAACCTGGAAGTCACATAAACAAATATACTATGAAATGCAAGATTTAGTACGAGAGTAAATATTGAGCTGCCTTATAGTGATCGTGTTAAAGCACTACTGGCTCACCATAGCCCGTGTTACTTGGAACTTTTTGTTCCAGGTAGCGAATCTTTAACACCAACGTGTTAACCGAACTTAACCTTCCCGAATCTAAGCAATACTAACAAACATCAATCTAGCCCTTGACATTACTCTCGTAACAAAATTAAAAAAAAAAAAATATGAGGGTCAATTTAGCTGTTGTCTAAACTTGGGAGAAGTGCGTAACAAATTTTATTGGGCGGTTTGTAGCTTTTGCTGAGTGATTTGTAGCTTTTGTTGGGTGAGTTGGAGTTTTTGTTGGGCAATGTGTTGTTCTCAGCCCGGTAGTTCTTGTTGCCACT